TGTTCCAGCATCACCACAAATCAGGACGCTGTAGGTTATTTTGAGACAATTCCACATACGGCGTCCTGCTGCCATAAATACTCAACACTGACACTACCAGAGCATCCAATCTACAGCTGAAAATATGTCCCAGTAAATGCACGTATAAGCAACATCTGCTAAAAAACACAAAATACAAGAATCCCACAGTGCTCAGCTATTAACTGCCCTTCAAAATAAAAGTCTACATTCATAACAGATTTTAAAAATGGGACCTGTAGGCGTGGCGCTGAAGTATGGAAAGCACTGAGTGACAGACTACCATGTGTTTCTTTTGGTCTTTTAATAAGATTTGTTAAAAATGACAAATAGTTATATTTATCACCAGCTTCACTCTTTAAAAACTGCCATCATATCTTAAGCTGCTGCATTATGGTGGCATTTTAGATCAATTTTCTATAATGTAGTGTTCAGAATGGGTGCCATAATTTAGAACAACACAAATTAAACCATAAAACTCTGCTGAAATGCCATTTATGTTCTGTATATGTTAAAAAGACCTTTTCAAAATGTGCTACTGGTGACATGCGACCAATCAGATTGTTCTGTGGGCGGGACATTGACCACAGATGCATCAGAGGTAAAGTTTTTAAATGAAAATATTTAAATGGAGAGTCACTTAAAAAACACAGATAATCGGGAAAATGATGAATATTGGATCCGACAGTCGGCCAGGCTGATGATGAGTCGACCCCCGAGTAGTGTTGAAAAAAGTTGACTGGATGAGATGAAACTCTGACGACAGTCCTGTAGATGGCCACTTCACTATTATGCTCTCTCGTATTTTTGCTTTTTTTAATTTAACCCTAACTGTATTCATTCCTGTCGCATCAGAGTCAAACTTCTGGTTCACTTTTAAACATGCTCTCCGACACACATCCATGTAGCCAAATGCTCACTTCCTTTCTTTGACCTTTTGTCCTGGTTCAAATGAATGCATGTTGTTTATTTGTGTGTGTAAGTTCTTTAAAAGCAAAAAAAACCGAATTCCTTCTGTGTCTACGCACTCTTGGGCAATAACGCTAAATCTAATTCCAGGATGCTCTAATGTGTGGGATGGCAGAAAAGGTGGAAACAAAGGGTTTAAGATCCAAACACATGACTTTTCTAGAATTATTTTTCCAGACACCAACAAGCTCCACACGCTATTTTACATGCAGCTCTTCATCCTGCACTCAGATCTCCATTTTCTTGCCGGTGCACCAGTGAAACACCTGTGAGCATCCATCTCCTCAGCGGACCGGACTGTGCTGCAGCAGGAGCATCCAGGCAGAGCGTCAAGAGCGCCGTGACTCAACATCATCTCAGCGCGAGAGCAATGACGGTGACTGACAGATGCAGAGGTGGGAGGGAAGAAGGCAAGACAAGTGACAAGCTCGAACAGGATCACAGTTCCTTTGAAGGCAGCTGGGCAGGCACACACAGAGCCCACTAGAACAGGGAAGTGACTCAACACCCCAAGGACTTCAAATTACTTTTCTACAACTTAGCTCTCCTTTCTCAGCCCACATAACACCGATACTATTAGCACAGTTTTAACTCTCCGCTGGACAATTTGCAGTCAAGTGATTGAGGAGCGTACGGCGACGTGCAGTCATGGCGGCGGCGTGGAGGAGGAGCAGGAAACAGTAACAACGTCTCTCATATTTCAAACGCAGGAGCGAGTAAGTCAGGCCGCTTTCATGTCAAGTTGCACAACAGGAAGAGAAACAACACAGTGAGAAAGATCCCACTAGAGGAAGTTGTAATTAATATTTGTAGCAGAAACTGCGGTGAAGAAAGTGCAGCAACGTTTTAGAATCGTTGCAAAGGACGGCATCACTTCACTCCATCAGTGACGGAAAAACAGACACTTTATTGGTGCCGGAGGTTCTCTTCATTTAATCAATAAAATGACATAAGTCGGTTAAAATCAACAGACGCTCCGGTGCAGGGTTTGATAACAGAAGAGAAGGCCGATTGGTTTGTTTTGATTGCCCAACACGTCTAACATCAGACACTGTGTGATGATGGTGCAATGACATGCATTACTAGGTTGTTTAACCTGAATACGTTGCACAATTCTGCTCCTCTCCTGGAGGGAGTGTCAGGTGACATTTTTAAAAGCCTAATTGGAGAAGGCCCTCCAGCTGTGCAACGCAATTTTTAAAAAAAGAAAAGATAGAAAGGGATTTATTTAACACGCTTTGATCAATAATGCTTCTATACTCAATTACGCTTTTAACATTTTAAAGCCTGGAGGACTTCAATCATGACGGAGGAACTTCTTTTAGATCTTAAATGTTAGAAGGGAAGATGAATCAATCAATTAACGCATTCTTAGGAGGGGATTTTTTTTTTTTAAAAAGGCCATCTTCCCCGGACACTCCTTCACCTGAAAGTCTTTGAAAATTGCTGTCAAGGGACCTTACCTTGAAAAAAAAAAATAATAAAAAAAGTTGATTGCTCATGGGGACAATGTGCCCTTTTACTGACACTCTCCGAAAACGAACGCAGTGCACCTTTGAAATCGGGGATGTGAGTGCACAGGACACAATCATCAGGAACCGCAAGCTGTAACAGCACAAAGCGTCTCGGTGCACCCACACACACACACAGACAGGGTGTGTGTGTGTGTGTGTGTGTGTGTGTGTGTGAGAGAGAGATATAGAGGCTTGTGACTTCCTCTCGTCTCCACTACATCACAACCAACTATCACTTCACAATGAAACTGATAAACTGTCTTGTAAATTGAGGTGCTTGTAGTCCTCCACAGTAAATTAAGTGGATGTTTGTGGATGAACTCGGAGAGGTAGACCACGAATGGAAGGTGTGAATAAAAGCCTCCTTCCTGCAGCAGCTTTACAGAAAAAGGCTGCACCAGATGTGGTGGCTAAGCTAACTTTCCAACATCTCAGAAAGGGATTAGAAACTGTGTGGGGGGGGAGGTTTCTCTCAGTAACAGCACATGAAAGCGTCGACAGAAAGCCACAACGCCTAGACATCTCTTTACTTACAAAAAAGCAACATTTTATGCGTCTCCCCAACATCAGGAAAAGGAAAAAATCCATCCATAAAAAGGTCAAATTAATTATTTGAAGCTCTTCTTCCTAATGAGACAAATTAATGGATACTACAGTTCAGTGGGTGTTGCCATGTATACCATGAGAAAGGACAAAAAATAAAAATCTGGTCAAAATATGTAACCTCACGGTGGTTTGAACCCATTTTTGAACTCCAAATTACCCCAAGATGTAATGAGGCAAGACGCACTCTCATCACATTTTAATTGAGGAGGGACGACTAACAGCTAACAGACATTTCTGGAAACCGGCCACAGTTAAACTCCCTCATCCATCCCAGAGATCCACATGAACCGTGAGCCACTTCGGGCCCACAGTGTCACATCTGAGTCAAACATGTCACATTATCTTTCAGCACGTCGAAGCCTCCTCATGCAGACACTCGGAGCAGCACATCATCATTTTCCTCCTCCCATTTGCTTTCTCGTGTCCAAACACTGAGCTCAGTCCCACGGCGGAGATGTTGTTTGTGGACACGTTTCGGGTTAATGATCCTGCTGATAATGAGATCCTGCTAACCAGACAGTGCACACATGTCAAGGTGAGCAAGCCACCTCGCTGAAACAAAACCCCCAAGCCTCACACGGAGTCCTTGCCTCATGTGCACAGTTTGTGGTTTGTGAGCAGAGGGGAAGGAGCCCTTTAGCAGGCGTACATCACTCTGCAGAGACACGAACTGAAGCGGTAAACAAACCCACACCGATGCTGTTTTTAACATTTGTGGCGTGTAAAGAAGCAGTGGATAACCCCTGTTGTAGTTACTAAGTCCCAAAATGGAAAAAAGGGTATTCCCTCCCTCTAGTATTTATCTGCAACGCTCTCACACAAGGCAGGAAGTTCACAGCTAAAAGCAAAAGAGATGTTATCTGTGGCAAGACGTTGCTTTTTTCCATGAAGTCATCACGAGCCCCTGGGTAGAGTGGCTGGCTGCAACAAAAGGGCCACTGTTTGACTGGCACAATGTGCCGCTCTGCTCCACAGCTTGGCCGCACATGCAAATGACAGGAGAGGAGTGAAAGGTGTGCAGATGTCAGGTCCCAGCTCAGCATGAAAATACTTAACGTGTGTGCATGAGCTGCTTTGTGATCCACAGAAGTGATATATTCACCTCAAAGGCATAAAACTGGCAACTTTACATGCTGGTTTGACAACAGCACTGTGCCTCTGTGATCTTTATCACTCTGACACTGTCCACTTTAAACAACACATGCACTTCCGTGTGTTATCTTGTAATTTGAACTGTAAAGTACAGGCCACGTGAAGAACAACTGTTGAAAGTGAAAACAGGTTGTTCAAGATTTTCTGTTTCATTATCTTCAGCTCTTCATCCTCTTCCACCCCAGTAGCCTTCCTGCCCTGCACTTCCTGATCCCTGTATGACAGCCTGGGATGTCTGTCCTCACACAGCTGCTCGTACTGTGTCCATACCCAGCCACAGAGGGCTTGTTTTCCATGAGATATCAGCTTTTTTTTTTTTTTTTTTCGGCTGCCGTTTTGAGGCACTTGACATACTTTCAGAGCAGACCTGACACGAGGAGAGACTGAATAAAGAAGAAGCTGGATTGTTTAACTAAATTGGTTTATTTGTGTCGTATTTCTCCTCTGCAGATGTGTTTCCAAACTTTACCCGGTGCGGTGTGAGGTGAATGATCCAATGCGGGCATGTGCATCAATGAATGTGCCACTTATATTTCCACTGACTGTGCGCCACAGGGAATACGGTGGCTTTTTACGCGCACGATCTGCCTCAGCTTGAAATCTAACGGCAGTGGAGGGGTTTCCTGGCAAATGAATCGATGCAGGCTCTCATACGCACCACGTTTGACTTAAAAGAAAAAAAAAAGAGAGAGAGAGAGAGAGAGAGAGAGAGAGGGGAAATAATGTAGACAAACTACTCACCGTTCGGCCCATATTTCTCCAAACTGACTTTGACCTGCTCCAGAGTCAGCCCGGTGTTTTCGTTCACACTGAAGTTGTCTAAAACTTCAGTCGCCGATTTAGTGTGCGCATTTTCCATCTTGGTGGACCGGGCTTAGATGATCAGATCGAAATGCATGCAGCTGAGTAACATCTACTGAGGCAACCTGGGGGTGTGTGCGGGGCTTGAAACAGCAGTAATTTCCACCGATGGGCGTTGAGGCGGCTCGGTTTGCTCTGTCACCTGTCTGTTCCCCCCCTGAAGAAAAAGCTCCGGATCCGCGGTTCAGACGCTGTTGTCTCTCTGTTGCTCGACTGCCGCTGCTACTTCATCTCCATCTGAAGGTGTGCTGTGTCTGTGCCGGCGCGGACCGCCTCTCGGCTGTTGAGCACTCCCTCCTGCGCTCCCATTGGCTGCGCGTACCTGAGCGCACGGTCCCGCTGCCTCCTGCAGCCACTTCAAACATCAGGACACGTTACGCGTTGAGTGTAGTGGAGCTTCAGATACTTGCGCTGCTGTTTATTGCTCCTGATTGGGGGGGATTTATCTGTTTGATTAGAAGTTCACACAGAGCTGGGAACAAAGTGCGTCTTTTAGGGGGACTCTAGTTTTTAAAGCCCTCTGCGCACAATGCAAACTGCCGCTGTTTATGGCGCACAGAGTGGGAGTGTTAGTTGTGCACAACACTGTGAACTGAACCTCAACGCAGCCCCGAGGCCAGCTGCACAAAGACTGTGTTGATCGAGTCAATTAGGACGGTTTTTAGTTTTCCTCTGAAATGCTGCAAGACAAAAACGACTAATTTTCAGATAGCAGCTCCACCCTCAGGGCTGTTTTCCACTGACAGCGGACGGGAAAGGGACAAAACATGGCCTGTAATTGGATTTTGATAGCAATTCTGCAGAGTCAGAAAGGGAAGAATGTTTCTATGAACAGCAGGAATTTCTGAATTGATGCATTTGTTTCACTCATTACTGAATACCCCCCAATCATTTATCATTCTAAATTCTTTGACTAAATTCACACATGACCAGAGAAGGAGCTTGAACTCACAGCTTTGTCAGCACGCTTAGTTTGAAAATAATTAGACGGAACAGTGGAGAATGAGAGAGAAACTGTATTTGTTAGATTTGAACCGTTAAAGCTGCCCAGGCAGTCACACAAGAATGATGGCCAGCAGGGACAGCACGACTTTATTGTGTTTTTATTCCCAATAATTGGTGCATTTGTGTACTGAAAAAAAAAAAAGACTTGGAAGCTATGAACAGCAAACAGTAATTGCTAAAGCTTGGCATATTTTCTCCAAGTTGCAGATAATTGGAAACAAGGCTGACACGTTTGTGGACAGCAGGCTTGATGCTGTCGAACTGCTGGAAGATCTGGGAAAGTAACACAAGGAGTGAGTCTCTGTTGTGTTTTCTCATGTTTATTCTATTTATTTGCAAGGTATACGCTTTTGCAAACAAGAAAACGCAACAGAAACACTAAGCGTATACCAAAATAACAAAAAAAAGAAAAAAAAGTAGTAGGACACGGATTGAAAAACAGCAAAATCAATGTGGTTGTCATGTCCTGTCACTTAGCAAGTTGCATTTTGAGCTGCACAAAGCAGCAGCTGAGCAGAACGTCTCAAACTCTTGACAGCTGTGTTCTCCGTCCTTGCGATGTTGCCAGACTGTTCTCTCAAGGGGACTTGGCAAGAGCGTCCTTCTCGAGTCCATTCTTGGCTGTGCTGGTACTGAGAAGCAGTCTTTTGAGTTCTCAGGACCAAGGTTGAATGCCACTGACTCAGAGGATGTTTGCAGATGCAGGGTTTGAACTCAGGAAGTCCAGCGAGAGGACAGTTCATCTGCAGGGAGAACGGAATAAAAGGACAAAGTGCTTTGACAGACAAAGCAGAAGCAGGATACCAGAATCTGACATGGCAACCGATAAGAAAACAAGAAAACAGCAGACAAAACGAGCAATGTGGCGATAATAATAAATACATGTAAACTAATAAAAGCAAAACATATAAGCAATAAAACGTCAGCATCATATTGAAAAAAAAAAGGGTTTCAAGAAGTGATTTTAAGGGTCATTGATTCTACAGCTCCTCAGGCAGGTCCCTCCAAAGCTGAAGGGCCCCTTAAGATTTAAGCCTCGACCTTGGACCCCCCCATCTGAGCATCTAAAGCTTGAAGCTTAAAATCAATTTCAAAACGAACAAGGAGTCGGTGGAGAGAAGTCAGGACTGGGGTGATGTAGTGTCATCTGTTAAAACCAGCAAGAAGCCGAGAGCGCTGCTGTTTGGAAGACTTTGGGTTCGTGACAGAATGAAGGGAGCTGCAGTGGTTGAAAATAAATGACTTGTGAGTGCATCAGTTTAATTTTGGATGGTTTTTAACTAAAGGAAGCAGAACTTCTTTGATTTGTGGCTCAAAGGTTCGGTGTGAGTCAATTAATACTCCATTAAAATTCCTGGCAACAGGCGACACATTAGCAGAGGAGCGACAAAGACTGTTCTAAACGACACAGTGTCAGGGATTGAACAATATGATTTCTATATATAATCTGTATGTATGACTCTGTGTACAGTTAATAAAGTAAAACATATAAAAGACAAATAATAATGCTAATAATAATAACAATGGTGTGTCAACAGCATGAAAACACAATAAAAATGTTCTCATTACAGTTTTGAATTCAGTAAAAGAACAGATACTACTTTTGTCCAATATATTATTAGTATTAGACATGACATCAGCAGATAATTAACGTTAATATTAATGCATATTATAAGTAGAGTTTTGCTGTTGTAGCTCACCCAGGTTCAGTTTGTTTTATCTGCTTCACATCCAGTTTGATAGATTGGGCTTGAGGCCCCCTTCAGTGGGTTGCAAGATCACAATTGATGAGATTGTGAGATTATTAACGAGGCGTGAAAGACAAAAACAATTAGACGCATCAATTTATAGTCACTTTTGGGACCATTTCTTTCCAGTTTTTTGCTTTTTGTGATAATTGAATATTTGACCTCTTGTTAAATATCACAAAAAGACAGTGGTGGTAAATATTGTCCAAAGCTGCTGTTATGATGTTTAAACTTCCCCCTTTTTCCTGAGACACAATGGTTGCATCCTGGCGCTGAAATGATTCATTTTTATGAATCCATAGTTTGTGTCGAGTGACTTACAGCATGAAGTCACTTTTCTTGTTTATTCTGGTCCAAATCACTCCCTTTGGCCCACTGCAGCCGCCCGGTTCAACCAGACACACACACTTACGGCAGCGACACATCAAAATGCTCATTCGCTGCGACTTCTGGCAGCACTCGCGGTCTTGTCGTAATTGGTGGCTTCACTGCATCAGAAACAAGTGCAACGCTGCTCACTGCCTGCACAGAAACCATTATTTTGCATATCATTTACTAAGACCCTTTGGGGACTTGAACTTCCTGGAAACCTGTTGTTTCCTGGAAAACAGTAAAGGTGACCTCATATGACACGGACAGAGGGTGTGAGCGAACGTACAGCTCTCCCGCCCTTTTTGTGCCTGTTGGCAAATCGGATTGCCTTTCTCCTTGAACCGGCGTCTCATTGGTTGAACCTTCTGAACGATGCCTCACCAGCACTGCCTCAATCCATTACAAACCTCCATTAAACTCTTACTGTTTACAATGCTTTGCAGCTTCTGACTGGGGAGCCCCTGTAGGGTTGGCACTTATGGGGGAAATCAGCAGTTTATTGATGCAGTGGCAGAAGTTTAATGAATTTGCCCATTCATGGTCGACTGGGGAGGAATAAGCCAGCTGAACGCGAGCAGGGAAACCGGTGTTCCAGATTTCCCTTCCATCACTTTATCCTGAGTGTAAGGTTACTGCAGCACAATCTCCCCACAGTATGCGGACTCTGAAATGGGTCTACTGTTGGAGATCACAGGCGCTGGACTGGGACCTGGTTGGGCACAAAGTATAAAAGGAACAGGGTGCTCCAATTCTGTCCCTGCTCACAGCTGGCCTCTTCTCTCACAGCAAAAAAAAAGTGTATTTATATCTGGAGCTTACGTAACTTCCAGAACTGCCGTCTGGAGGATGGTAGCTGGCTACATGAAGTTCTCGGATGCTAAGTGCCTACAAGTGCCCTCTCGCTTGCTTCGGAGGTTCTGTCTTTGCTTCTCCTTCAATATTCAAATCCAAAGATTTTCTATTTTAAAAACCAGACCTCACCGGAGCAGATCCCCAGCAGACAATCGAGGCTACATCCACAGGTTCCACTCATGCTGCTCGCTGCCCACTCACGAGCGCAGTCAGGGAGCGAGATTCTGGTTAGTCATCGGCAGCATCGACTTATGGTGTGAAGTTCTCCTTCAACTTGTGTTTGCGCGAGCTAAAGCCTTTGCATCAGGCGTCGCAGTGACATAAATTTCAAGAGAACCCCTTCGACGCCAAAGCTCTTATGAAAAGGAAATCCCCACCCTGACCCCCCTCTTTGGCTCGCTCGATCTTTCCCTTCAGTGGCGCACACTGGGGGACTGTGCTAGCCTCGGTGCCAGTCACACAACATTTTCCACACAGCACTGTCAGCCTTCCAATACCATTTGCCTTCCCCTTTTGCTTGCAGCAGTTCATTTGCATGAGGGAAATGAGCCGTGGCCTCTCAAGCATGAAAAAAAAAAGAAAAAAGAAAAAGAAATTTCACTCCACCTTGCACGTGATGTTTCACAAACCTCCATCTAAGACGAGGCGTGACACTCTCTCTGCACCTGGACCTGAGAGTTCGATGTGACAGTGAGATTTTTTTTTTTTTTTTTTATTCAACTCAGGCAAACAGCCACCCTTGATGTTTTTCGTGGAGCTCCGCTGCTGGTGCTGCAGACTTGGGGGACAAACAGCTGCTGCTGCCATTGACTTTGAATCAAGGAGATGATGGTGATGCGAGTCGCCCACAGTCTGGAGCAGCTGTACCTGACAAGCAGCCCAAGTGGCAAGTCAACCCCCGCCCAGCCTCCTCGCCATTAATAAACCTCTCCCCTCTTTCCCCCCCGTTCTCCTTCCCCTCTTCCCCGTTCGGGGGTTCTGCACATCTGTGAGAAAGTCATCATTTCACAGTCTGGCGCAGCAGGATGCTCCGCCGCCTGTCAGCCCCTAGAAGAGAAGGCGAATGTTTTATGTCAGGGGAGAAAAGTCTGCTTTAATGCCGTCTTAATACCAACTGAATATTTTAAATCCAATTTTTTGAATGATATTTTAAACAGCGGTACAGTGTTAAGGAGACATGAACCTTTAAGAGCATCAGAAAGACGAAGCAACGTGCTGCGTATCTGTGTCATTATACTCACAATGGATGCATTAATATTAAAGC